AAATAGTCTAGGGCCTTCTTCGGCTTTAGGCACACGTGGGTTTAGGGGTCTGTGGGTGCCAGCCTGTCCCTTGCCCAGCAGACTGAGCTACCCCCGGGTGGAGAAAGCCTGGAAATAACTCTTTTGGGTCCCAGTTGGTGCACATCATTGCAGTCGCTGCAGTGGGCTGTGCAGACTGTCCAAGCCCTGGGCCCGTGTTCACGCTGAGGAACCCAGGAAGCCCAGGTGCCCTTACGAGAGGAAGGAGTGCAGCTTGTGGGAAAGCTGGAGCGATACAAACCTGCCCACTGAAGCCATGGCCTCATGGCCTCCAGCCCCTCCCTCCCCCCCCCCCCCCCCCCCCCCCCCGGGCCCAGACCAGGTACCGTTAACAATAGTGTTGTCAGAAGATGATAAACTTGAGAAGATCCAGGTAAAGGGGGGTCTGCATGTCAGAGCAGGGGCTGGGCAGACCATGACCGGGAAGAATAGGGAAGGAGCCCCAGAAGAGCCAGGGAGAGACCAATACCAAGATGGGGCGACAGCTGGGCACTGGTGGCACAGTGCCTGTAATCCCGCTGCTCAGGAGGCTGAGATTTGAGGATCGAGAGTGCTAACCCTGAGGGGAAAAATAAAAAACCAACCTCAGGGACAGCACCCAGGCCCAGAAAGAAGGGGCAGCGGAGCAAAGGCCTAGGTGTGGGTGAACAGTAGGGGAAGTGTGCCAGAAGGGCCTGAGTGCCGTGGGGGTGGATGGGGGCCATAGCCACTGCCCATGGAGCTGCGGGGTAGAGGGAACCACCTCTCCCTGCGCAGAACCTTGGCCCCTGCTTGGCCCTAGGTCTTCCCCATGCTTGAGCCACCTTCCCTGGTGGTGCTGGGGGGGGAGGGGTTCACAAGGAGGGAGGTGCTCAGGCAGACCTTGAAGAATGGGGGCGAGGAGGGAATGGAGGGGGAAGAGGCTGAGGAGGCAGGTGACATCTTCATTGGAGCCCAGCCTCCTCAGGAGCCCTTGTGCTTGGTTTCCTGCTCACTGGAGCATGGACCCATGGGTAGCAGCCCATCTTCTCACTGGTCCCCAGTGCCCAGCTCAGCTGCCACCATGTTAAGAAGAGGCAGGCAGGCATGGGGCAGACACAGCTCTCCCAGGTGTCTCCCCCACCCCCACTCCCACCATGGAGCCCATCTCTAATTTTGTGTCTGTGCTGGGGCTCCAGAAGTTGGTGCTCTAGTCTGGGAGACAGATGTAGGAAGTTTGTGAAGTGAGATTGTGGGGTGCAGGAAGCCAGCTTCCCTCCTTCCCTCCCTTGGTTTGAACCCTACTGAGGTTTGAACTCCCGCGCTCAGTGCCTGCTAGGCCCTGCTCTGCGACATGACTCACAGCCTCGGTTCCTTTTTGCATCATTTTTCAGATAGAGGCTTGTATTTTTGCCTGGGGCTGGGCCTTAGACTGTGATCCTCCTCCCCATGCTTCCCTAACAGCTGGGATATAACAAGTACGCTTCATCATACCCAGCTAGGTTGATGCCATGGCAGTCTTGATAACTTTGCTCAGGAGGCCTCAAGCCACATCTCTCATCTCTGCCTCTTAAGTCACTGCCTCAACTTCCTTTTCTGAGCATCTGTACTTATGCTAAGGCTAGTCCACACTGTATAAAACATATTTTGTGACATGAGAGCCATTCTGAAGCAAAACTGAGGCACAAGGAGGGGGAGGTGACCTTTTCAAGGTCACTGAGATGGTATCCACACAGCTCACAACTCCTCTGCACTCCTCACAGGATGGCACTGGGGTGGGCTGTGTAGGGCAGTGGCTAGTCCACCAGACTACGGCCACCTGAGAGTAACTTTGTCACTTAAATGTGGGCTTCTGTATCCCTGACCCAGATGTGGCGTGGAGAAACCGTGGTGGCAAATAGCTTATAAATGAAGGGCTGCAGGCCTGCCCAAAGTTTGGGTGGGTTTTTTGGTTTTTGTTTTTGTCAGTTGTGGGGCTTGAACTCCAGGCCTGGGCACTATCCCTGAGCTCTTTTTTATTCTTTTTTCTTTTTTTTTTGGCCAGGCCTGGGGCTTGAACATTGTCCCTGAGCTGCTTTTGCTCAAGGCTAGCATTCTACCGCTTGAGCCACAGCACCACTTCCGGCTTTTCTGTTTATATGGTACTGAGGAATCAAACCCAGGGATTCAAGCATGCTAGGCAAGTGCACTCTTACCACTAAGCCACATTCCCAGCCCTCCCTGAGCTCTTTTACTTAAGGCTAGTGCTCTACCACTTTGAGCCACAGTACCACTTCCATTTTCTGGTGGCTAATTGGAGATAAGGGTTGCAGGCTGGCTTTAAACCACGATCCTCAGATTTCAGTCTCCTGAGTAACTAGGATTACAGGCGCGAACCACCATGGGTGGCCAGCACATCTTAATTTTTTTTTTGGGGGGGGGGGTCCGGTTGTGGGGCCTGAACTCTGGGCCTGGGCGCTGTCCCTCAGCTCTTCAGCTCAAGGCTTGCGCTCTACCACTTGAGCCACAGCGCCACGTCCGGCTTTTTTCTTTTTGCTTATGTGGTGCTGAGGAATCGAACCCAGGGCCTGAGGCATGCAAGGCAAGTGCTCTACCACTGAGCCACCTTCCCAGCCCCACATCTTAACTTTTTAAAGTGTACAAACAAACCAAGTGAATTCAGTGTTGCATAGTCAGTACCTCAAACAGAAACGTCACCACTCAGTTCCAACCCTGCCCCCAATAACTTCCAGGATACTTCAAGGTCCCCTGTATAAGTAGACTCGCTGGGCCTTTATTCTTTTGCATCTGGCTTACCCCACTGAGCATAGTGTTTGTCCACAGCACAGCATATGCCCAGCTTCATTCACGCTTAAGAATCACTCTGAAGGATCCTCTGCTGGCTGCGGGGCTCGCCCACATGTCGCCTCACCATTTATCTCCTGAGGCTTCTCAAAATGCCAGTGAAAATCAGTTCCCAGTATTGTTAAATCTGGGGACTGACAGAGTGATAGGGATTTCTAGCTTTCTATACGAACGGGAGTATGTGTCTCTTACCAGGCTAAGGTGGCATTGGAGGACTTGAGCCTGCTGTTCTGGCCCAAGGGCGAGGTATTGGCAGCCTCTGTCGTCCTAGCTGATCAGATGGGATGGAAGTTCTCGAGAGCCCAGCAGCCCCTGAGCTGTGTAAGCTTATCTCAGAGAGATGGGGTAGGGGTCCATCCTACTGTGTCCCAAGCAAGGTGTGACACTGCAGCCGCAGGGCCTGGTGCCCACGGTGAGTGCCATGACCATTTGGGCTGGTGCTCACTGAGGTGTTTTGTTTCTCAAGGCAGAATCAAGGGTTTTCTAAGGTCAAGTAAGGCCTGTGGGAGGGCACTGCCGGGGTGGGCAGAGCTGAGCCAGTCTGCCAGGGGCATCCCATCCTGTAGCCCCTTCGCCCCAGCAGAGGACTACAGTACCTCAGGTGCTCTGGCCAGAAGGAGCCACCCAGAGCCAGCACCTTCTTCCTAGGACCCCTGGGGCAGCATAGCAGGGCCAAGCCTTGACAATTGATGGAAGTTGTCCCAGCTAGAGGAGCATGACAGAGCCCAAGCACAGCCTGGAGATCAAGCCCCAGAAGGGGTCAAGAGTGGAGGCCTGGGCAAGGGAGGCTGAAGGTGGGCAGGAGATCACGGGAAGGACAAGGCACAGAGGTAAAAGCCTGGAGCAGAGGTGCCAAGGGAAGAGGAGGGCAGCTGGGAGGAGAGGGGAGAGAGTGGGTGTGGCGTGACCGGTAGGGGCAGTTGGCTTTGAGTATCCAGTTACTGCCCTAGGGGTTAACCCCCTGAGGTTCAGTCTTTGGTTTCTCCACCAGGGACAGGGCTGGCATACAGTAGGTGCTCAATAAATAGTGCCAGACACCTAGATTAGTCACTGGAGATGCTGCCCGAAGAAAACCATCTGTTTGGACGGGAGGGGTCGGGAGGAGGAAAGCCTGGGGCCTCTGGGGTGAGGCTTGGGGCCGAGCCCACGGGAGGATGCGTGGAGCTGGGCTGCTCAGGAGGCGGAGGAAGCCTTGCAGGAAGCAGCGGCCCAGGGGACCTGCTGCCGCCGAGGGGGGAGGGGTGCCGCCGCACCGTGCTTTCCCCTCCCCCTCGGCCCAGGCCCGGCTGCTTGATGGGCAGCCCGGTCCCGCCCCCGGGTAGCCGAGAGGCCGGCGATTGGTTAGGGCTCTGGAGCCGCTCGGTCACCATGGGGACGCTCGGGAGGCGCGCGTGCCCAGTACCCGGCACCGGGGACTAAATCTTCATAATCTGCTGGCTGAGAGTGGGGGTTGGGGTCCGGCGCGACCCTGGTCTGGGGGGAAGGGTGGCCTGGGACATGGTCGGGACTCCCCGGCCGCTCCGCCCGTGCAAGGGGCAGGGGCAGAGCCGGGGCACCTGGGCGCCGCCCAGAGCCACGGGGACGCTCACCTGCCGGTGACCGCGGCCCGGTAGCTTCCACCCCGCATCTTGTCTGATCTGGCCAGGCAGGAGGCTGGGGCGGGCGGGATCCGAAAATATCCAGTCCCCGGAGCGCCCGTGTTATCTTCCCAGACCCGCCAGCAATGCGGCCTCTCCCCAGCAGGGGGCGCCCGACCCCGGGCCGCGCGGCCGGCGCCGGTGGCCGCGCGCAGCGCGTCCAGCAGGGGGTGCTGCCGGCCTGACGCTGTGGGTTGGCCGGGGGGGGGGGGGGGGGCACGGGGACCCATCCCTGACCCATCCCTCCCGCCCTCCCTCAAGCAGCGAAGGGAGCAAATTCGAGGCCCACTGAGGGTGGGAGGGGCACTCCTGCGGCAGAGCGCGTGACGCGCGCACAGGGGGCTCCGGAGACCATGGCTGGGCCCGGTGGTGGCGCCTGGAGACTCCTGTGGCCAAGGCGTCCGTCCCCACTGCGGCCGCCTCTGCCCTGCGAGACCAGCAGCAGCACAGGTACTCCGAGGGCCGATGCCAGGTCGCCACACCCAGCCAGGCCTGGGCCTCACCCCCCGGCTTTCCTCGTAGACGATTCCTCCTCCGAGAGCGGCAGCGGCAATGGCTCCTCCACCCTGAACCCGTCCACGTCCAGCAGCACGCAGGGCGACCCTGCCTTCCCCGAGATGAACGGCAACGGCGCCGCAGCCCCCATGGACTTCACTGCGGCGGCCGAGGACCAGCCCATCAACCTGTGTGACAAGCTCCCCGCGGCCACGGCGCTCGGCACGCCGTCCTACCCTTCCGACGGCTGCGGCACCGACGGGCTGAGGAGCCGGGTCAAGTACGGCGTGAAGAGCACCCCTGAGGTGTGTGGGGCTGTGGGCCAGGGGCCTCTGCCTGTCCGCAGCCCGCAGGGGGGTTGTGGGGCCGACCAGAAATAGTACACACGGGCGGGCGGGAGTGTAGCGGGGCCCAGCCCACACGAGACCTCAAGACAGGGGCGAAATCCCGCCTCTGAGCCTGCTTCCCAGCTTTGGAGGAGATGGCAGGCGATATATCCCCTCGCCTGGAACAGCAAGTAGAGCTGGAGGCATGGCTTAAGCAGTACAGCACCTGCCTGGCAAGCAAGAAGCTCTGGGTTCAAACTTCAGTACTGAAACAGAACCAAACCACCCAAGTAATGCTTGGACAGCAAGCAGCACGGAACACTTTGAACACAGGCCTCACGTTTTCTGGGGGCAGGGGCAGTCATGTGGGTGTCCCCACTGTAGGCTGACTCTGGTCCACTAAGGTTTCTTGAAGCAGGGAGGCCAGCCTGGCTCTCCTGGAGCATCTGCAGCCTTGTGGCCAACGCTTTGCCCCCCAGCAGGCTTTTCCTCTGCTGTGCTCCCATTTTTCTTCTGCAGGGGGTGCAGTAGGTACCAGGAAGAGGCCGCTCAGGGTCTCAAGGGAAAATTTGGGACAAAGAAATGATGTCACATTATCATCATGTAGCTATCAAAGGAACCTGGCTAGGAGCAGGTCCGAGGAACAAGCAGAGCAGCTGCCTGACTGTGGGGGCAAACTTTGCTCTAACTTTACCACCATTGCCAAGTTATAGGGTGGACCCTGTCAGGCTGTTGGGCACCAGGGAAGTGAGAGAGGAGTGAATACTCCAGCAGCCCTCAGAGTGTGTTCTCTGCCTGCCTGCTCGGGTCCTGGCTGAGGATTTAGCTGAGTAGTAGTTTGGAAATCAGCCCTGCCAGAGGTCACAGAACCCACCAGTAGTCATTGCTGGGCCCTGCACTGTGACTCTGGAAGGCCCTTGCACATCTGCATGGACAGAGACTGGCCAGCAGTCAGGACACAGGGAGGGCAGGGCGTGTCTCCATGGAGCTCTTCCTCTGGAAGTACCGGGCTCCCTGCAGGCAGCATGTAGCATTGAGATCAGTGGCTACGTGCTCTGTGTCCGTGGGCCCAACTAATGCTACCTCCTCCAGGGAAAGGACCAGGATACCAGGACATGCCACAGGCACAAACTTTTAAACAGGGACAGGAGAAAGATGATGTGGAACTGGGCCTTGAAGGGCAAGCTGGTAGGGAGCAGGCTGGAAAACAGGAGGGACAGATGAGGAACCTGTGGAGCGAGGCTGGGGGACTGGAGGGCTGCAGGATAGGCGCCCAGGCAGCTGGGCCGGGCCCCTCCTTGCTCAACAGCATTCCTCGGGGGGGAAGGCACCCCACCTTGTGGGCCGGCGGCCCTGGCTGGCTCCTCCTCCAGCCCATCCGTTCCTCCTCCCACAGACAGCGCACTCGCTGCTCTGGTGGCGGCTCACTTGTCAACTAGGGGTTGTGGCTCCTGGAGGATCGGGCAGGAAACCCAGAAGAGGCTGGCTGGGGTGGGAGTCCTTTTCTCTCCCTCACGGGATGTGGTGGGTCCTGCTGTAGTCAAACCTCCTCATACCAGCACAGGCAGAGCTGGGCTGGGGTTGCTGCCCCATTTTGCAGATGAAGGGGGCCAGAGGCAGGCATGCTGTGCACAGAGCTGTCATGGCAGCTGGGCGAGCTGACCACCCTCCAGGAAAGGGCAGCCCACCTGATGCGTCCTCTGTCGCTCTTCCCCACCCCCCAGTCCCCTCCTTACAGCTCTGGGAGCTATGATTCTATCAAGACCGAGGTCAGTGGCTGTCCTGAGGACCTGACAGTGGGCCGGGCCCCCGCAGCGGATGACGACGACGATGACCACGATGACCACGAGGACAACGACAAGATGAATGACTCTGAGGGCATGGACCCCGAGCGTCTCAAGGCCTTTAACGTAAGCACCAGACAGGGCCCGGCAGAGGGGGGGGAGAGGTCCCAGGCAAGGACAGCCCTTCCCACAGGCCCTGTTGCCCACAGATGTTTGTGCGGCTCTTTGTGGATGAGAACCTGGACCGAATGGTGCCCATCTCCAAGCAACCCAAGGAGAAGATCCAGGCCATCATCGAGTCATGCAGTCGGCAGTTCCCCGAGTTCCAGGAGCGGGCCCGCAAGCGCATCCGCACCTACCTCAAGTCCTGTCGCCGCATGAAGAAGAACGGCATGGAGATGGTGAGTCTCCCCCAGCTGCCCTTCCCCACTTGCCACCAAGGCCCCCATGCACGCCGTGGTAGACCCTTTACCCCCAGCTCGCCCAGAAGCCCTCTTGCACAGCAGGGGCCCAGAAAGGTTACATGGCTCTGTCAAGCTTGGGGCCTACCAGCCCCAATACCCAACTCCCACTCATGGCCATTCTACCTGCAGACCAGACCCACGCCCCCCCACCTGACCTCCGCCATGGCAGAAAACATCCTCGCAGCCGCCTGTGAGAGCGAGACGAGAAAAGCAGCTAAGAGGATGCGCCTGGAGATCTACCAGTCCTCCCAGGTACGCGCTCATCGCCGGCCGTGCCCAGGGCAGGCTCACCCATCACCCTGAAGCCCTGGCACTGGGGGGAGGGGGAGGACATGGAGAACAGTGCCCAGACAAGCTGTGAGGGGGCAGCAAGGGGAAAGGGAAGGCTGGAGGAGTCCATCACGAGGGCCCTGCAGACCTCGAAAGTCTGGCTGGGCATGGTGGCACAACACCTTAATTCCAGTGCTTGGGAGGCTACGGCAGGAGAATCAAAGAATTCCAGGTCAGCCCAGTCTATACAGTGAGACCCTATCTCAGTGTAGATTCCCATCCCCCAAATGGAAGTCTGGTTCTCATTCTGAGTCTTGATACATCATTGCAATTTGGGGAAATGCCTGGGACAAGTCAATCAGAGAGCCATGACGCTGGGTCCCAGGAACCCTGGGGCTACAGCTTTTGCCTGGGGCCTAGGGTGATGGCTAGAGCTTTCTGCCTTGTTCCCCGGCAACATTCTGCTGCCCTTGCAGGATGAGCCCATTGCCTTGGACAAGCAGCACTCCCGGGACTCCGCAGCCATAACCCACTCCACCTACTCACTGCCAGCCTCCTCCTACTCCCAGGACCCTGTGTACGTCAACGGCGGCCTCAACTACAGTTACCGCAGCTATGGGGCCTTGGGCAGCAACCTGCAGGCCCCTGCTTCCCTCCAGACAGGAAATCACAGTAACGGTAAGTGGCTCCAAACACTAACTAGAGCCCCAAGCAGACTGCTCTTCCCAGTGGGGCCAGGAACTAGCATGATGTTGAGCAATGGGTTCCTCAGCTTTATGCCCTAAGCTGGGTGACCAGCTCTGCTGCAGGGAAAAATGCAGACTGCTGTAAACAAACTGAGTTCCAGGCCGGGCACTGGGGCTCACAGCTGTAATCCTAGTTCCTCAGGAGGCTGAGATCTGAAGATTTCAGTTTCAAGTGAACCCAGGCAGAAAAGTCCGTGAGACTCTATTTCCAATTATCCAACAAAAAGCTGGAAATGCAGCTGGGATAGGAGCACTAGCCTTGGGAGCTGCGGAGTTGGGGAGAGAACAACATTATAGGGCCTGAGGCCCATCTACACTAACGGGAGTGGGGAGCCCTGGATAGGCTTGAAGTACAGGGCTGTTGTTTGTGCTTAGACTCCATCCTTCTGTCTTGCCTTGTGGTAAAAATCTTTCCAGGGAGAGGGCAAGAGGCAGAGCCATGGGGTGAGGGTAAGGAGGTGGCAAAGGCCAGAGAGCGAGGCCTCCTGCAGGCCGGAGAGTCCTGATCCTGGATCTCTGCTGATCATAGCTGAGAATTCCTCAAGCTCTGTCCTTGGCTGCAGGAGACCACTGACTGCAACCCCGCAGCCAGCCCAGATCCCCATGCTCACTATGAAGTATGCTGGGTCCCGGAAAGAGCCCTGCCTGGCTTAGTTTCTCATCCTTTCCTAATGCCTCTTAACCTAAAATAAGAGGCTGCCCTGGCCCTAATCCCCAAAGCCAGGCCAGAGGGGCTTGCAGAGCCAGGATGGAGTGACAGTCCCAGTGGCTGGCCGCCTGCCTGAAAGACCCCTTGCTAGAACGTCTGAAGTGGGTCCCTTTCTAAGTGCACAGGGGGAGGCTGAGGCCCAGCAGGAATGGTACAGATGACCTGGTACCTGGATGCTTCCGTGCAATACATGATGGTGACGAACGTCCATCTGGTGACATCCATCATGGCCTGTCTTGAGTGTGGCTGTTGGGGATCCTCTCTTGAAGTGTAGAGTTTGGACTCCCACCCGGTTACGCCTGCCAGAGAAGCAGCCAGAGGTGGTGTGAGAAGAGGCAGCCAACTCCGCCCTATGCATCCCTCTCCCAGCCCTCTACACCCTGGTACCTTACAGGTGGGTGGAGAGGTCAGTAGGACAGAAATGTGATCATTTGCCTCCTCACCCAGGGCAGCTCTGTGCCTCATCTGAAGAACACTGCTGCGTCTGGGTGTCCATCAGCTAGAGGAAAACTGTGTGGCTGTACAGCGGCCCCACCCCCTGCCCTCCCAGTTTGCTGCCTCAGTTGGGTGGCTGAAATGATGGCTCTGAGCCCCTCGCTGTGCTCATTACGCTGTCATCTAGCGATGTAAATCAGCCTAGATAGAATCAGACTTTCTGCCTGTCTTGCTTAGGGTGCTCACTAGCTCAAGTCTACTCCATGTCCCTCCCTCCCACCCCCTTCCTGGCAATCACCAGGAACCAGAGCTTCTGGCAGTAACTAGAGCCTGCACAGGTAGTTTCTCCAGATCAGATTGGCTGAAGGAAACAGATCTTCTCCTTTCCAGGCTTTAGTGCAGTCCAGGATAGAAGGAAGGAAAGCTGTGAGTACAGAAATGAACAGTGAACAGGACAAGATCTGGAAATGGAGGGAGGAAAGACAGGAACCTGGCCTGAGGGGCCACCTCAGGGCCCCAGAGGGGACCAGACCTCCTCCCGCCACATAGGTCCTACCCCTTCCACATTTGCCAACACGGGCTGGCCATCTTCTTAGCTAATCTTTCCTTCTGATTGTTCCCTGAATTCTCACTTCCAGTTCACAGGACCACCCCCTGATTGTGGGCACATTGTCTGCTCAGGTGGGGAATATATTGTATTTGACCAAGCCGTCCAGGCATAACCCTGACTTCCTTCCTTCCCCAATTAGGAGCTGTATCAACTTCCTTTTAGCAACAGTCAAATTCCATCATTTATTCATAAGATATTACTTTCTGGCTTAGAGGTCTCTTGGCCCTCTGTCTTAATAACAGAATTAGAATGGCCAGTGTAGGATGCAGTAATGAGCAAGCCTAGCCATCAGAGCCCTAGTAACCTAAAGGCTACTAGGGATGGCCCAGACCAGCCTCTCAGCTGTAAGAACCTGCAGGAGGCTGGGAAGGAGCAGCAGCAGGGAGGCCTTCCCAGGGGGCTGGCTCCCACACTCTCCAGCTCTCTTGGGCTGTTTTCTTGCTGAAGCCCTGCAAGAAGACCATTCTAACTGCACATGCTTCCAAGTCTGCTGGGACCCCCAGACCTGGATGCTGGCCCACCATGGCCCAGCCTGTGTTGCAGGCTCCCAGGCCTCATTGCAGCCCCTGTCCGCCAGAGGTGAGGGAAGGCCACAAACTGTCCATTAAAGTGGCAACAAAGCCTGCTCCACAGAGATGCTTCTGGAGAGACCTAGAGGCCTGGTGGCCCCATCCCCCACAACACAGCCCCTAATGTGCTAGCTAGGCTCACTGCTACCACCATCCGCCAGCAGAGGGCACCCAGCTCTGCCCATCAGGCCCACCCCTCTCTCCCACTAACCCCTCTCCCTCCACTGCCCCCGCAGTATCCACCTTCCTCCTCCATATTCCAGGCACACAACTCAGGAAAGATTTGACATGTTGAGGTTTGGCGGAAGGAGGCCCCTCCTCCATCCACAAGGACTCCCAGTTCCCTGCGTGTACTCCTGGGAGTGCATAAGCAGCTACTTCCCAGTTTGCCCCAGACAGAGCCATTCTGGCTGGGCATCCCACACCACCTCCTCTTCCAGCCAGCCTGTGGGGAGAATGGCACACAGACCTAGACACGTGCTAATACTTTCTCATCGCACTTACCCTCCCAGGTCCTTCCTGAGACCCCGATTCCAAGGCTGGGCCCGCCACTGGAGAGGCAGGCCTTTGCTCTCCTCATCTGGAGACCAGAGCTGGGAAGAGCCCTCAGAAAGCAGTGGAAGAAATGTCAGTGCCCGTGAGCTCTGCCTGGAGATGCACATGACCCTCTCCCAAAGACAGGGCTAACCTCTCAACCTCCCTTGCATGCAGGCCTGCTGCAGGGAGACAGATTAGGGCTTCAGACTCCATACCAGGCCACAACAGGATGCTGTGATGGTTGTGACAACAAAAGGGACTTCTGGAAGTCAGGGGACCTCCAGAAGTCAGGTGGGGGATCTGCTCCCTCCTTACTCTCTCTTCCTCTCCACAGGGCCCACGGACCTCAGCATGAAAGGCGGGGCCTCCACCACTCCCACCCCTCCCACGTCCACCCCTTCTAGCAACAGCACCAGCAGGACCATGCCCACTGCCCAGCTCAGCCCCACGGAGATCAGCGCTGTGCGGCAGCTCATCGCTGGCTACCGAGAGTCTGCGGCCTTCCTGCTGCGCTCTGCAGATGAACTGGAAAACCTCATTTTACAGCAGAACTGACCCTGCCGGCCCCTGAGTGCACTACGCCAGGGAAGGAGGCTGTCCCAGCCAGGGCCCGGCTCCCAGCCTCGCCACTTGGTACATTGTTTTCCGAATGAGGTGGGATTCATAGCGCTGTTGCTAGCCAACTCCAAGCATCTGAGACTTTGGGCACAAGGACACTTTCTTTTTGGAATCTCACCACGGGTGCTCTGACCTGCTTGGAAGAGGCCGGGGGCAGCTCTGGAAGGGTTGGGGCTCCCCTGACAAGGCGTGGGAGCTACAGCTCTCTTTAGAATCACTTCGTGGACCCTGATGTTAGAATCCCATTCCCAGATAATTACCTTTCAAGTCTTAGGTGAGCAGAATTGCATATTTATTGAGAAAAACAAAGTGGACCCTTCTTTCCCTCCCCCTTAGTAATTTATTTTTCTGAAAATGGATTCTTTTGTGTTTGTACAGATTGCCAGTCTGTGTCTGTCTGATCAGAAGGATGTACCCTTGTACCCAACATTCCCCATCACTACACTGGTGTGGGCTGGGGGGTCCGCAGAGACAGGGCAGGTGCCAGGCTGGCTTCCCTCTGAGGGCACAGTGTACCCTGGGGAAGGCCACCACCCCTCCACCAGGCTATCCTGTTGCAGATCCCAGTGCCACCACAGGGATACTGCCAGGCACTGCCAAGCAGGAGGACCTTGCCTATACCCACTGCAAAGCAAAACAAGGCACCCACCCACTCTACAGAGCCCTAGTCGAGTGGTCACCTGTATTCTACCTCACACTCCAGGATGGGCTTTTCCAGGACGTGCCCTGAGCCTGTTCTCAACGGCTGTCTCCCCAGCTCCCACCCAGCGTGTCTGCCAGGGAGGTAAGTCAGACCCCAGAGTGGGTCCTGGCACTCACAACCAGCAGCTAGCAGTCACGGCCTTCTCAGCTGCCCCCTGCCCAGGAGGGTCCCTTCTTCAGGGTGTGCTGTCAGGCGGCTCCTGTCCCTTTGCCCTGTGGTTGGAGTAAAAGGGTGGTCAGGGCGTGGAGAAGCCACTTGGGTCCTCCTAGGACCAGCCCTTCTGGAGGGGCCCGTCCTTGCGTTACCCAGAGCCCCTGGAGTGTGAAAAAAGCAGAAAGAAAAGACTGGCCTGGTTTGATTCCTCCCTGACAGGCACTTCCTCTTGCTCAGTGCAATACCTACCAGTGCTGCTAAAACCGGGGATTTACCCCACCTCAGCAGGCCCACGGGGCCTCTCTACACAACACTCCGTAGCCATGACAGCAGCGGCCTGCTGCTCGTCCCTGCCCACAGATGGCAGAAGCCCTGTTGCCTTGCCTTCCTCAGAACAGAGAGGCCCCAGGGGAGCCAGGACCAAGTGGACCCTAGGATGGCCACAGAGCCACTCGACCTCAGAGCAGGCCCCCTCCCCAAACCAGCGATAGGAGCGTGGCCGCTGGCTCAGCACTGTGGCAGACCACTGCTGGGCAGGGAGGGCAGGCTGACGCTTGTCCCCTCAGATTTGGAGCGGCAGGGCAGGACTGCCTCGCTCCCTGTGCCCATGTGTACCCTGAGGTTTGGGGTGGTCTCCCACGTGGCCCCCAACACACTCAGCCACACCACCTCTGCCTTCCATGTGCCCGGGCCCCAGGCCTCTCTGGTCAGAGCCAGGACACCAGAGCCCTCTCCACACAGCACAAGTCCCAGCACCCAAGGCCTCCCCCACAGCCGGCCGTCTATGTGCCCAGTCCCCACCTGCCCGGTTTGACTCCCAGACTATGTTTGAATTTGTGTAAATATTTATTTTTGTGTGTGAACAATACTGCAAATTAATCAGTAGATCTTTTGAAAAATGTTACCCCAGGCAATTTGTGAAAATCTTAATGTTAAAAAACTGGCAGAGACAATCGCCGCCCTTCAACTCCCGATTATCAGTTGCTTAATATGTTGTTTCTCCTCCCAGAGGCAGCACCCAGACTAGACACAAACCGTTTGAGAGACTGGGAAGGGGGATCCTCCCTCCACCCATGGGGATCAGCTTTAAGCCACAGCTGAAAGCCACACTTCCTTCGTACACGCTATGTGACCAACCACCGTCAGCTGCCGTGCGAGCCGAGGGCCATGTGTTTTAAAGTAAAAGTGAACAAATGGCAGTGGTGACAGCCTGGGGGTGGGCGTGGGGGGAAGGTCTTCAGGACAGAGGGCTCTGTCATGTGGACTCCTTCTCAGAGAGTTTGAACTTGATACCCCAGAGATGAGGGCTGGGGTCAGGAACAAGTTACTATGTAAAAAGATTCCATTAGCCAGTTCAGTCAGGGAACTTGTTCTGTTTTCCTTTTTGTTTTTAAAAGATGTGGCTTCAAACCCTTCCCTATACACCCGACGCAGAACGCAGAGAGCACCTTAACTGGTTCTGATGGCCCCAGCTCGCTGCTGCTCACCCTCGGGGAGGGGCCTCCTCCTCCCACAGCCACTTAGGGCACGAAGTAATCATTGATGGTCCCCAGTCAAAAAGGAGATACAAGAGTAGGATCTGCCAGTCTGAGTCTGCAGGGGCTGCTCCCACAGGCAGGGGGAATGGGAGACATGGGCACTAGGTCTCACTGGCAATCATCTGTTAGGCCAGTGACAGCGCATATAACCCATCTGCAATCACTTTGCCGCCGCCACCCGACAGTTTATTCCTAAGGACCATGTTGGGGAAGGCGGGGCTAGGAGGGTCTCAGAGGATTTGGGACAGGTGGCACCCACCCGTGTTTCCCCTCACAAGGGCCATGAATGACTCCAGGGGTGGTTATAGGATTAACTACACGTTCATTTTCAAAATGCTGCTTTGAACTCAGAGGGTTGATACTTTTAATTTGTAATTTTTTGTAAAACTTTATACAAGATAGTAAAGTATTTCACCAGAATACCAGTTTCAATCCGTCCGTGGTCTGATTTTTATATAATTTAGTGGTGCTTTAGAAACTTTGTTTTGTTGTTTCTGAGCTCAACAGCTCAATTCTTTCTCGCCTGTATCTACCTAAGACCAATGTGAACCTTTGTATTTTGCTCCTAATTTTGGACTCAGTGGAAGTGTACTGTTTACATGTACAGACGCCCCACCCCTGTGTGTTCTGCAAGACTCGCTCTTGAGGAGGAAGATGCACCTCACTGAGCTCATCTGCTTAGCAAAGCCACAAAACAAAACCTCTCACTCTCTACCTGTTTCCACCTAAAAACACAAACAAAAATCTACAAACAGAGCACGGATTTGCTGACACGGACTCCACCTGGTCGATGCCAAGTGCCTCCATCAGCTGTCCGGCCAGAGGAATAGGAACAGCACCCCCTGTGGGCAGCACCTGGCAAAGGAGCAAAGGCAGGATGTGGCCACTGGGCTCTCGGAAGAACAGTCCCACAGAGCAGCCAGGCAGTGAGAAGGTCGCGGTGAATCGTGAGGCCTTCAGGAACAAGCAAGCCAAGGATTTAGGGACTACTGAGGCTGCCAGTTGTCTGGCATAATTTAGGTGTTTTGGAAGAGTGCAAGTTCCATGTCAGACTTTTCAGTGCAGATGGTACAGGTGACTCTTCAGGGCTCTGGGGAGGGGGAAGGGCTCCAGACAGTACGCATATGGCACTTACTACAAGCAGCGGATGGCACCAGCTTTCAAGGTGACTGTTTATTAATCAGTGGCTTCACCTCTAAATTATATTTTTACAGATATGCACCTATGCAACTTAATGTGGCTCTTCTAAGCAGGTGAGGACTTCCTCCTCAATGCTCTCTATAAAAAAGTATTTGTGTTCTGTACAGTGAGTTTTTTTCCAGTAAATGTGGCTTAATATTTTTAATTCTTAGAATGTGTCTTCTATGTGATGCGATTAAATTCTGTTTTGTTTGTGGAATGACTAGCACAGGCCGACTCCCTCTCCCCCTCACTTAACAGAAGACCAATGAGCTGTTAATCGAGCTGTTATCTCCATGGTATTACTGCTAAATGCACTGATTTCATAAGTATGTGGAATCCTTTTCCTTTTGAATCTGTATATCATATATAAGGCTGAATCGACTTAATAAACACTGAACAACAAACTGAACACTGTGCCTCCACTGTGTCTCACACCTCCAGCATTGCTGGCCTGCCAGCTGGCTCTTATGAATCTAGCTTGCCACTAGAACATCTTTCTACTGGCAGATTTCACCTTTTCCTAGCCAAAGTGTAGCACACTCAAGGCCGCAGTAGGTTTTCTTTACAAACAAACCTCTAACTCCATGTCGGTATTCAGCCTTTTAGAGAAACGAGCTTTCTGGGTGCCCACCGGATGCCCAGCTGTCTCACTCACCTCGTCCCCGCTTAGAGGCGAAGCAGCAGCAATACACTGGGTATTGGCCTTGCCTAAACTCACACAACAACTAAAGACACTTTCCCTGTCATCTTGGTGTGCGGCCAAATGATCCAAATTCCAGAAGCAACACCCAAGAGCAAGCTGGGAAAACAACAAACATGGTCCTTGGTCCTAAGCCTTTGGAACTTGACATACCATTCATTCTAGGTGGAATCTTAAGGGAAATGCAAGGGCCGTGTTTTCCAGAACCAATTTGTACACCAACTTTATGTTCATGTATATATGTATCAGGTTGTTTTTAAAAAAATTGTTTTTAGAAATATGGCTTGGAACAAACTGATCATTCTGGGTTTAAAAAAAACTTTTGACTACACAAATTAAAAGCACACATCTGTTAAAATTTCATGTATGCACACATCAATTTGCACACTCCTATGTACATTCCCATGTAGCTAGGAAACTGTACCCAGTTTCTATTGATTGAGATTGGAGGGTATATGAACTTTCCGCCTGGGCTGATCTTGAGCAGTTGATCCCTCTGTGGTAGCATGAGCCACCACAGGCAGGCAACTAAAAAAAAAAAAAGTAATGACACAATCTAAAACAAAATGAGAGAGAGAGAGAGAGAGAGACTATGTAACGGCCATATGTACACATCAAAGGAAGGTCAGCAGTCTGAAGCTTCACAACTGCACTTGGGGCTGGGCTGCACTCATGCATGCAGAAAACATGGGCATCAGCAGGTACCAGGCCTCCATGCCTCAGCCTTCTCAGGGATGGGGAAGGGACAGCAAATCCTCAGGAATACCAAGGAAATGCCCTGTCCCATCCAGGGACATCTGCAGAATACAAACCAGCCCCATGCAGCCCAACACTTACCCCCATGGCAAAGTGGCTGCTCTTCGGAGCACTGAGACCACCAGGAGAAATGGCGTGACGACAGTGAAGTGAAGGCTTGGCTCAGTCTGGCTTCTTTAGGTACAGCTGCAGACTACTGCTGTTGACAGCGGACACAAGACATTATCAAGCAGGAAATGTCACCTTACATGTCATATTAAGAGAGACAAATTCACTGAAACCTGACTAAACAGGCAAAGCCTCCCTTTATGTATTGAGGAAATACGCCTTTTTAAGTCATTAAAAATGCACTAGAGGGGCTGGGAAGGTGGCTCAGTGGTAGAGCGCTTGCCTTGCATGCATGAGGCCCTGGTTCGATTCCTCAGCACCACATAAGCAGAAAAGCCGCAAGTGGCGCTGTGGCTCAAGTGGTAGAGTGTTAGCCTTGAGCTGAAGAGCTGAGGGACAGCACCAAGTTCAGGCCCCACAACCGACCAAAAAAAAAAAGCACTAGAGCAGCTTAGTAGTTATAGTAAATCTAAAAAAAGAAACACTTGTCAAGTTCTCTCTCCCTTGATTTTTTTTTTTTTTTGGATCGTGGGGCTTGAACTCAAGAGCCTGAGGTGCTGTCTCCAAGCCTCTTTGTGCTCAAGACTAATGTTCTACCACAGCTCCACTTCGTTTTTGAGGGGTTAATTGGAGATGAGAGTCTCCTGCAGACTTTCCTGCCTGGGCTGGCTTTGAACCTTGATCCTCAGATCTCAGCCTCCTGAGTAGCTAGGATTACAGGTGTGAGCCACTGGAGCCTGTTTTGAGCCATGTTTTTATTAGCTGGGCAGCCTGGAGTTTATACAAAGGGACATAGTTGCCCTGGGAGTTTGGGCACCCGCTAGCAGTGTGCAATGTTCTGTACACTCATGGAGCATCCCCAGAAGGGTGAAGCCCCACCTACCTGGAGAAGCAGCGCTGCCACGCACTGTGCAAGAACCAGTCTACATCATCCTGTCTTGCAGTGCCAATACTCATTCCAGACTTTCCAATTTGTGTGCAAGGAAAAGAGCAAGAAGCGTGGGTGCTGTCAGATTAGGTTTTCAAGGAGCAATCTCCAAGATCACAAACCCTACCTTCTCTGTGCCCCCCAATAGCATCCACATAACAATGCAACACATGAGCAGCACCCACCTCTCCAGGCAGGCCCCTGATGGGTGCCCCTGCTCTTACAAGCAGGGTCCTACTTCAAGTGCAGGTTGGACATCAAAATGACAGCACAACAGGCCAGTGATACCATCATTCCCATATTTTCAAACATTTGCTTTCCTCATCCTTTCTGCTATAAAGAAGCCTCCCTTTAATCTCAGCACTGCACTCAAAAGCTGTAAGACACCGAAAACCAGATGTCACCTCACAACCCTCACCACCCAGGGCCCAGGCCCACATCCCCACAACTTCCTCTGGCAATGGGGAAGCAGGTGGCAGCAGCCATTTGGATTTCAATGGATTTCACAGAGCTAGTATTCATGTTAACCTGACATAAACTCATAGACTTGTGTACAGACCCACATGGCTGGCATGCGGCCCATGAGTCAGAGACGTAAGTGGCAGGATAGAATTCCTGCCCTGGACCCTAATGCATTCTAAGTTCGCTCGGACACAAGGGGCTGATGCATACAGTGACAGGCACAAGTAGAACACCACCACCAGCAGGTAGTAGCCAGATCACCAGAGCCAACTACCACCACCAGGAGTTTGCCCTATCACCAGAAACATTGATCACCACCACTACGAGGTCACCCAATCACGAGTCACCCATAATCACCACCAGACTTTCACCTGAACACCACAGAGCCCCCTATCAGGTACTCTCCAGCAGGACTGCAAGATGGCCCTACAGGCAGGAAGAACTAGTGGAGCTGTATTTGAGCTTCACTTGCATGATTTTTTTTCCCCCATTGGTGTATTATACATTAAGTTTTTGGTGTTTTTTTTTCCTCCGTTGGTCATGGAACTTGAACTCAGGGCTTGAGCACTGTCCCTTAGTTTTTTTGCTCAAGGCTAGCACTGTACCACTTGGAGCCACAGTACCACTTCATCTCAGGTGGTTAATTAGAGGTAAGAATCTCACAGACTTTCTTGACCTGGCTGGCTTTGAACCATCTCAGCATCTCCGCATCCTGAGTAGCTGGGATTACAGGCTTGTGCCACCAGTACCCTGCTTCTAATTGTTTCTGCTATGCACTAAACTATGTATTTCAGCCCTCCAGAGAAATCTCAGGACCTTTATCTGAGAAACCAACCCAACCTTAGGAGCACTCAGCTTCTACACAGGTTCATTCAAGCATCAGGCATGCCTCACTCAATGGTGAGATCAGAATCATCATCGGCCCGCAGATCAACCATTCAGAACCCACTGGGAAAACTCAAGCTAGGAGCGGCAGTTTAGCCACGCAAGTGCACGGGAGGTGCTGTGTGCATCTCCTACTTGCAGGGAAAGCACTGGTCACTTATTCTAGTCTCACAGTGGGACAGTTCACCAAGAAGTCACAGCCCAAAGGCCAGCAGCGCAGCCAAGTCACAAAGGAGAGCCCCAGGTAAGCAGGTCTGCTCCAGGGCTGAGGAGGCAAGCTGGCAGCCACTCCTCCCACTCCAGCTCTGCACACAAGCTGACTCCCACACCGGCAGGCAGCCACAGAGGATGACTGAGACCACAAATGTAGGTTGTACAGGTTTATTTTTCCAATACCACAGAGACATAAGGAGAGTGATGTTTCTGGGCAGCCCCACGGCCAGGCCAGTGGTAAGCTGGACCTTTGAGATCCCCTAAAGGACGGGACACGCATGGGCTCCTGATCCCTGTCTTTGGTAAACAGATTCTTGAGCTGACAACTTGGACTTTGCCAATAGTGCACTTAAATCACTGTGTTGCCAACTTCTCATTCATGCTTCAGAAGGCAAAAAAATAAAGATTAAAAAATGCCACCTCAGATTAAAAGGGGGAAAAGTCACCTTTCAGATGAAATAAAACTTGCCTAAGGCATACAATTTTATAGGGAGACAAACCTGCCTGGATGAATCAAGGACCTGCAGCTCTGCAGTAAGTAGAGACAAAAAACAAGGCAGGAATGGGTCAAACACAGGGGCATCTGCCTGCTGGAATGTGTTGGGAGAGGCAGGCAGCAAGCATGGCTTTTGTTTCTTCCCACCCTATTGTCAAAAGTCAGCTAGGTATTGCAGTGACAAGTAAGAGGCTCAGAGCCCAAGGCAGGCCTGAGGGTTGCCCAGAGAACTTACCCAAGGATTGATTCAGAAGCACTTAACACTGGTGGCGGCGATTTGTCACAGAGGGCCGCGAGGAGCCATTAAAAGCTGGAGCAGAGAACAGATGTGGGGAGCAAGATGCATTTGCTCAGTGGCGTGCACATGAGCCAGCTGTGGCTCTGAAGCCAGCAGATCCCCTGGTGATGGGGACCAGCCACAGATCACAGGTCAGTCACTTCCCCCTCACGTCAGGCAGCACAGCACTCAGCGGCTCTGACAATTGGTGGAGAGAAGTAAATGACACCACTTTAATGCAATTGATGCTGAAGATGTAAAATAACGAAGAGACACTCATGTTCTCTGTACAATACATCCATTTACAGAATTGGCCAGTACTGTATACAACATATAAATACAGGATAAAACATTAGAGGTGCATAGAGCATACTTACAGAAGCCAAAAAGTTCACCTTAAACAACCAAGAAAGTTAAAAATATAAAAATAAGAAACACACTGCTTGGAAATGTAAAATGACTTTCACATACACGTGTGGAGGGGCCCACGCGCAGAGTCCAGTGCTGGGGTAGGCGGCAAGCAGGAGTCACCCACAAATGTCCACAGCTGCCTCACCAGCTCTACAGAAGGCATATCCATTGGCAGCAACCTTATTTCCTGACCCTGCTGTCCAAGAAACTAAAGCGGTCAAAAGATTCCATGGAACCATGGGTCACACAGAGACAGGAAGGTCCCAATGACTGTGACCTTGAGGTCAGCAGGTGCTTAAAGCCCCTGGTGGGCAACCGTGGGAGTTATTTAACCCTCGCAGCTTTTATTCCCAGCCATCAACTCCCCAAAATAGCAGGAGGATCGCAGGGAGGCAGGTGGAAGACTGACTGCTGCTCAGGTCAGGAGGCTTCCCTTGGAGAATACTGCCTTCTGGCTTCAGTTTCAAGTCCATCTGGGGGTCAGGTTGGCTCCCCTGCCACACCAGGCTGAGTCTACAAGAGGGGTCAGGTTGGCTGGCCTTGGGCAGTCCCATAGGCTGGCCCCCGAGAAAACCCCTCCAGCAAGACCAGAAAGGTTGACAAGTGACAGAGGGCTTTAGCACTGTAAGTTTTAGGGAGAGTCAAGACTGCTATTGCCTAGAGACAAAGAGTCTATTTTATCAGTAACATTCTGTATACAGATTTAAGGTCAATCATTATCAAAATACACACACTAAATATACAATTTTTCCAATGGCCATAATTTATTATCTCACCACAAGGCACAATACACATAGTTTTGAGGGTCCAATGCAGTCATCATGACAGAACGCACCACAGCCCTGGCACATGATCATGGCTTTCAGGCTGCACGCACACTGGAGCGAGATGCTTTCCACCGTGCTGCTGTCAGTAAACATCTGCAGGGAGAGGGATGCACTGTGGCTTGCACCAAAGTTTGCTTTGTGGCTCAGCTGCACCACACTGCCCGCAAGGCCTTTGGGAAAAGCTGGAGAGCTGGAGGTGTAGTTGAAGCTGTTGGAACTCAGCTGGAATTTAGAAAGCTTCCCATAAAAAGCCTGCTTGATGTTGAGTTGAGAGGGGATGGAAGAAGGCTCCAGAGGTTGACTGAGCCCCTTCCCTGGCTCTCTGGCTAACTTCCAGAAGGGCAGGTCCATAACAAAGGGTACTCCTTGCAAGTGACCCATCAACTCCAGAGGACTCTGCCCAGCACCTTTTCTGTTCTCTGCATTTGCCTTAGGAGAACTCCCCACAAAAGCCTTTTCGCTCTTGATGCTGTCTGCAGGCGTGGGTGGCGGCTTCGGAGCCCAATCTACCCGTGCAGTCTGTATTCCGTCGGACCCCAGCTTCCTGCTGTGAACTGGAGGGGCCTCAGCTGGCAGTGGCGTGGGGTCTGAAGGTGGGGGGTGCTGAATGGTTGTAGTCACATTCCTAGTGCCAAAGAGCTTCTTCCCTTGGCCTCCAGCATGGCTGTGATCACTTGGGGAGCCCCCTGCCTGCGGGGGACCACTGGGGCCCGCATGTGGAGAGGGGAGCGCGTGCGGCACTCTCGAGGTAGTGAGGTCTCCTGCACTTGTGCCTGGAGCAGCACTTGAGCTGCTGCACTGGGATGAGGCCTGGGCTTCCTTCTGCTCTTCAGGACTAAATGAAGAGAAATGTTCTTTGGAATCCATGTCTTCCAGCTTCCCAGAGGGGACTGGATTTGTCACTGGATGGAGGGAGTCTGAACTTGAGACTGTCTTGGAAATCTTCTGGGGAGCTCCAGGCGCCTGCATGGTCTCAGCCCTGTCAAGACAAGGAGTGGCTTCATGGTTCTTAGGCAGAAGAGGCTCCTTTAATGCCCGTGAGGCAGCACTGCTTGTGCCAATCAGGGGACTTCCCCTAGGCTTGTGCAAAGTTTCCACACCCACGAGGCCACCCTGGCTCTGTTCTCCTGTAAGTGGTAGTTGTGTTGATTCTGGCTTGCTGCCTCTGTGGCCTGGAGGAAAAACCTTCCCCAAGGGCAAATCACCCTGCAGTAACTTTATCACCAGTGGACTGGCGGCCTCCACCGAGGAGCCTGACCCAGGCAGGCACATGGGTCTTGGCTGGTGCTCGGGACTGGCCAACAGCAGCGAGGCTGGGGTCTTCACGGGAACTGCACACACTCGGGATACCCAGCTCTGGGGTGGAGCAATTCCCTCTGTCCTCGTCGGCATGCCTGGGTCACTGTGCACCTTGGACAGCGGGGTGCAGGGGTTCCAGTCACACCTCTTCTTGTTCACCACCGATTCCTTTGCCACTGCAATGTCACTGGTGTCAGCTTCACTGCTGTCCTCAGTGAAGTGGCCTTCAAAGTCAGAGGCTGTGTCTGTGGATTCACTGTGAGGACTCAGTGCTTCAGAGTCTCCATTGAGTTTTAGCTTTTCAATGACAACCTGCTTGCCGGTGCTGCCAGTGGCCTCTTGGCCTCCATGAGGTGTCCAGAGCAAAGCACAGTGGTCAGGAGAAGTCCCACCCTCCTCATCCTCACCCTCCTTGGTTGTCAAACTGCGGGCTACTGCAACAGTGAGGGGAACAACTTGTTCCCGCTCTTCAACTTGGGGCTCCACAGGTTGTTCATTCTCTCTGGATTCTGGCTCAGACTGTTTCACTCCCTTGTCATTTGATAGGAATGGCATCCAAGGGACAGCCTTGGTTGTCAAGGCTTCTTGTCTACTCTTACTGTCCCTAATGGGTAGGCTTGAGTCACCAAGTCCTAATTCAGCAGCAAATGCTCTGTCCTGCAGGCAGGCAGGCAGTGATGACTCAGGTATGGAATCCTTCCTATCAAGCTTACTGCCCACATCCTGGCCCGTTCCTCCTTCTAATACACCTCCCACCACAGATGGTACAGGATCATTCTCTAGGGGAGTAGTGACTCCTGGGTACTCATTCCTGCCTTCCCAAGAAGGAGTGCCAGACATATGCTCAGTTCTATTATCCAGATGCAACTTAGGGGGCTCCACTAGCCTCTCAGCCACTGGGGTTTGAGAGGACAATGGGGGCAAAGCCTGGCATGGTGGGTCCCCAGTGGGTGCAGTGGGGGGCTGGGAGGCATCTTCCAGTCCCCTTGCGAGTACACCAGAGCCCCCCGGCAATGAGCAGCTTTCCTCCTTTTTGAGAAAAGGAAGGTCCTCTCTCCTGGCTCTGCATGTGACTTTTCGGGCCTGGGCGTGTTCCCCATTCAGAGGACAAGGCGGCAGTAGTTGTGCTCGCTGTATATCTGGCGCACTCTCTCCAAGGGTGCCTGGGGCTCCCCTGGGCTCAGAGTTGCCACAGGTCTCACCAGCATCACCACTGTCGCTGCCTCTGCCACCTCCCTCATCAGTGGCCCCGTTGCTACCTCCACCCGGGCCACCCCCCCCTCCGATGGCAGTGGTGGTCGCCTCTCGATGGCCGTGGTGGCCTCTCGCCCCTCGGGCCTGCAGAGCACGGGCTTTAATGTCTGCGAGGGTCCTGGCACCAGTCCAGCCCCGGCAGGTGGCGTCCGTGATGGGGACGATCCGGGGGCATATCTGGTAAGTGGGCTGACCTTTAACCACCCAGGGTGGTTTGATACGTGAAAGTTGAATCTGCAAGAGAAGCATAAAGGAAAATAGTTTTTAACAGAGTGAACAGACCTAGGACCTACAAAGTCAATCCAGACAGAGCACTAATAGCTTAGAGGTCATAACCTAGAATATCAAATAAATTTCCAAAAAAGCCATCCCAGTAAAACAGTTTCCGATGACACCACTTCATTCAGAGTTAATTCTGCTGACAGATTAAAGCCTCACCTGAAATTTAGTTTCAGTGGGACTGTGTGTATCATTACAGCAAAGACCCTCATGTTGCTTAATAAAACATGAAAAGTCCCAAAGGATTTTGACCTCTAGAATTTTTTTTTTTTTTTTTTGGGGGGGGTCAGTCATGGGGCTTGAATTCTGAGCCTGGGCACTGTCTCTGAGCTCTTCAGCTCAAGGCGAGTGCTCTACCATTTGAGCAAGAGAGCCATTTCAAATTTTCTGGTGGTTAATTGGAGATAAGAATCTCATGGACATTCTGGCCTGGGCTGGCTTTGAACTATGATCCTCAGATCTCAGAGTTGCTAGGATCACAGGCTCGAGCCACAGGCACCTGGCTCTAGAGATAATTTTAACAGAGTAAACAAAGGAAAAAAGGAAATACTCCTATACCTTAAACGTAAAGTCACCAGCAAGAAATGCTCTCTTTTCCCATTAATTCACACATGGGCTCCCAAAGGTCTCTGTCCCTGCCAAAGGGCTCATGATTCTCCAAGGATATCTGGCATTAGAGCCATCAGCAATCAAACAGTTGCTTACCCGGATGGGCGGGACTTTGGGCTCCTCTTTAGTGGGCTGTGGCTTTTCGGTGTGAACACTTTCAATTGTGTTACGAAAGGACTGACGATCTTCAAGCCGGGGTTTCTTTTCGGGAAAGGATGCAGAGGCTGCCTGCTCAAAGGATTTCCTCTTCTGATCCTTTGGCTCCTGTTCCGCAGTGTCCTGAGGTAAGCTGGGAATTCTGTCTGGAGACGCAGAGGCACGTGCTGAGTTGTCTGACTCAAGCTGGATCCCGGAAGCCTCAGATTTGCTTTTGAGACCCTCCTGGCCAGATGCTGTCAAGGACACACCTGGCTGAGGGGGACTGCTCACCCCTGCTGCATCTGTTTTACCCTCTCCATCTTTGGAGAGTGTGATATCTGGCACCACTGAGTTCACATCCTTGGCGTCTCCTGTCTGTTCTGCATCCTGTTTTTTATATAGATTTCTTCTAGCTCTTGTTCGTAGTTCAGGACGAGAGCGTTTCTTGAAATACCCGTCCCGCTGACGAGCACCCAGGCCCCGTTGTGGCCGCACTGATTCTCCCGGGACACTCAGACCGCTCTTAATTTCAGCCACCTCCTGGCCTGTATTCTGCTGCAATGACTCTTCTTTGGTCAAGCCCAATCTATAAACCAAAGATGCACTATCAGTTACAGATCAGAAAGGATAATATCTTATCCCTATGAAAAATATGCACTCAAGATATATAGGTAGAAAAAAGATAAACAAACATGAGCTTCTGTGTAAGTGGTGTACTTTCTCCCATACACTATAAGGAGTATCCTCAATGCTTCACAAATTAGTCTTGATCTTCTGGGCTCAAAGCTTTTTTTTTTTTTTTTTGGGTCCGGTCATGGGGCCTGAATTTTTCTGGGCCTGGGCACTGTCCCTCAGCTCTCCAGCTCAAGGCTAGCGCTCTACCACTTGAGCCACAGCGCCACTCCGGGCTTTTTTCTTTTTTTTTGCTCATGTGGTGCTGAGGAATCGAACCCAGGGCCTCATGCATGCAAAGCAAGCACTCTACTACTGAGCCACCTTCCCAGCCCCTGGGCTCAAGGCTCTTAAGAAGCTGGTTCCTGTTTATTTGCTTATCTCTGATGGTGCTAGGGCGTTTGACCTTGTGCTTGCCTATCTGCCAACTGAGCCATGACTCCAGGGCCCATATAGTTTAAATACCTAATACAACATGAATCCAGTTGCTTCTATCCTCTCAAACACCCACTCCAAGACTTAGAGCAACAAATGCCTTACTTCTGTCCATAGTAGTCTTCAAAGAATTTTTCTTTCCATTGTTCTACCTTCTTTTCCTTCTCCATTTCCTGTCGTATCCTGACTTGCATCTCATGAGTGAATTCACCTAGAGAGAAAGAAGACTTTTCTAGTGAGTGTATTCAGAATATCCACGTCTATCTATCCTATAGACAGCTAAGTCTTCTAGTTTTATTCTACCAGAAGTGTTTGTTTTGGCAGTATTGGAGGAGTTTGAATTCATGGCTTCATGCTTGCTAGGCAAGTGCTCAACCACTTCAGCCATTCCCCCATCCCTTTTTCCTTTAAATACCTTTCAGATAGTTTTGTGCTTTTTACTGAGCCAGCCTTGGATGGCAATGCTCCTAACTACACTCTTATATTGCTGAGATTACAGACATACTCAAGCACATCTTGCATGTTTGTTGCAATGGAATCTTGTTAACTTTTCTTTTCTTTTTGTCAGTCATGGGGGCTTAAACTCAGGGTCTGAGTGCTGTCCTTGAGCTTTTTGCTCAAGGCTAGTGCTCTACCACTTTGAGCCACAGCTCCACTTCTGCTTTTCTGGTGGTTAGTTAGGAATAGGAATCTCAGACTTTCCTGCCTGGGCTAGCTCTGAACTGCAATCCTCAGAGATCAGTGTCTTGCATAGCTAGGATTACAGGTGTGAGCCACTAGCACCTGATCTCTTGTTAACTTTTTGCCTGGGTTGACCTCAAAACATGATCTTCCAAATTTCAAACTCCTTAGTAGCATCCAGATGTTTATTCTTCAAAAGCCTACATACAAGAATGGCCCTTAGCTGACCAGGAAAAAAATGTACTATGATTATTAATATATTCCATTTTTAGGCACAATCACTTGGAGTGAAAGTAGCTTCTCTGAGTTGAGCTTTGTGTGGAAGCTATGTGCAGAATGAGTTGAGAGGACCCCAAAGCCAGGCACTGGTGGCTCACACCTGTAATCCTAACTATTAAAGAGGTTGAGATCTGAGGATCGTGCAGTTCAAAGCCAGCCAGGGCAAAAAAGTCTGTTAGACTCTTATCTCCAATTAACCACCAGAATACCACAAGTGGTACTGTGGCTCAAGTGGTAGAGTGTTAGTCTTGAGCTGTAGAGCTTAGGGATAGCACCCAGAACCAAAGTTCAAGACCCATGATTGCGAACAACAAAAAAAAGCAGACTCTAAGACATTCCTGAGTTTGATGACTGCTGTCAGTCTACAGAGTTACACTCAAGACTGTGGTTAACTGCAGCAAAAAAATATAAATTGGCATCAACAAAAGGTAGAGAAAGGCATAAGAAGTGAGGTAAAGAGGCAGCTATGCACAGGACTCTGCAGGCCTCTCTGTGGAGTTCCAAAAGACACAACTGAGTTAGGAACTGGTAGAATTTGGATTTTCAGAGTTCCCACCACTATGACTGATAGGAAGGCTGTTACTGTTGGTAATATGGTTCATGATGAAAACATCTGTTCTTCTTCATCAAATATGGAGGGAGGGGAGAATTTGGTAAATAATCAGTGGTTTCTTATCAGCAATGTGTGCTTATCAGTCGTATGTTACATGATGAGTCCCCACAAATCCCAAACTCCTGGGCACCAAGCCTCATGAGTTTCTCTAGCATATAGATCACATCTGCAGTCACAACTTAACCATGGGAGAATTGTAATGGGCCTGCACAGTGCTGTGCTTAGCTACCCCTGCACCTCATCCCATATGCCCTCACTGTATTGTTGCCAATTTCTATTGTTTTGCCCAATAAATCAGTCTTGAGTATAACTATCTGTAGACTGACAGCAGTCATCAAACTCAGGAATGTCTTGGGGTCCTCTTAACTCATTCCTCACATAGCTTCCACACAAAACTCAACTCAGTGAACTACTGTTCACTCCAAGTGATTATGCCTAAAAACGGAGTATATTAATGTCACAGAGCACTTCATTCCATCTTTCCAGACAATGTCATGATTACTGAACAGACATGTATAGATTTGCCTTGTTTGTGGTACTGGGGTTTGAACTAAGGGTCTTGTGCTTGCCACAATGGCACTCTAACCACTTGAGTCACACCTCCAGCCCTACTTACCTTTTTTTTTTTTTTTTTGGGGGGGGGCCTGAATTCTGGGCCTGGGCGCTGTCCCTCAGCTCTTCAGCTCAAGGCCAGTGCTTCACCACTTGAGCCACAGTGCCACTTCCGGCTTTTTGCTTATGTGGTGCTGAGGAATCGAACCCAGGGCCTCATGCATGCAAGGCAAGCACTCTACCACTGAGCCACCTTCCCAGCCCCCCTACTTACCTATTTAAAAGATAGGGTTTGCTAACTTTCCTGCCTGGGCTGGCCTTGAATAACAATCCTTCCTCTCTCAGCTTGCTTCCTTTCTGACTAGCTAGGATTACAGACATAAGCCACCTGTACCTAGCACATATATAGTTTTAATGATGAAAAGAAGATGTAGGGGCTGGGAAGGTAGCTCAGTGGTAGAGGGCATGAGGCCCTGGGTTCAATTCCTCAGCACCACATAAGCAAAAAAGAAAAAAGCCCGAAGTGGTAGAACACTAGCTTTGAGCTGAAGAGCTGAGGGACAGTGCCCAGGCCCAGAGTTCAGGCCCCATGACCAGACCCCTCACCCCCACCCCCCCAAAAAAAAAGATGTAAAATGGACATATACATAACCGGCCACCAGTGGCTCATGGTTGTGATCCTAGCTACTCGGGAGATGAGATTTGAGGATCAAGGCTTGAAGCCAGCCTGGGCAGAAAAGTTTGTGAGGCTCTTTTTTGGTTGTTTTTGGTTATGGATCTTGAACTCTGAGCCTACACACTGTCCTTCAGCTCTTCAGCTCAAGGCTAGCACTCTACCACTTGAGCCTACGCACTGTCCTTCAGCTCTTCAGCTCAAGGCTAGCACTCTACCACTTAAGCCACAGAGCCACTTCCTGGTTTTTGGTGGTTTATTGGAGATAAGAGTCTCATGGGCCAGCTTTGAACTGTGAGATCTGGAGATCTCAGCCTCCTGAGTAGCTAGGATGAGCCACTGGTGCCTGGCATTGTGAGACTTTTATTAACCAATTAACCTATAAAAAGCTAGAAACAGAGCTGTGGCTCAAGTGGTAGAATGCTAGCCTTGAGCATAAAAGCTCAGGGATAGCATGCAGGCCCAAAATTCAAGCCTGGTGACTAGGGTGCATAGATTAGATTAGATAGATCAATCAATCAATCTATCAAATATCATTACTTTTCAGAGCTTATTAGTACTATAAGAAAAGCTTGCCTCACAATAATATCCCTTGAGAAATAATAAAAATTAGTAGAAAATGAGAGCTTGGGTTTTAAGTGCCAGGAGACATACAAGACAGTACACATTGCAGGCACCTCTCAAACCACATGAGGTAAAAAGTCTACTTACCATCAGCCAGGCGTTCCCGCCAGCTCTGAGCCGCATGGGTAAAAAATTCATTATTGAGAGCACTGCTGCTAAGGCGCAACAGTCCATCTGTCCCCACCTAGGGAAAAAATTAAATATAAATAAGGAAACGAGAGAACAGGAGCCCGCCTAGACAGAGGCCAGAGGAACTCTGCACTCGCACCTGTCTGTCCACCTCAGGTAGCAGGAAAAGAAGCTGCTGCTGGAAGTGTGATGGCAGAGCATGGAAGGTCCTGGAGTTTATCAGGGCACGGAGGTTGGTATTGACAAGAATGGACCCAGGCGTCTCAAAATCTATCTCTTCACCTCTGTTGCGCTTCATTTGACCTGTGGGTTGTTGTTGTTGTTGTTTTAAGCAACAAGAAGATATACATTTTCAGCTTCTTAAAGCAAATGTCAACTAGTAGGAAAACTGTAGTGATAGCATTCAAACTTACCCAGAGCTCTATTTTGCACACAATCTGCTCAATTGTCCAGATAGTCCCAACTTCTATGTCTGTTTTCAAGTTACTATTGCTGCCATCACACCCAGTACACCCAGTACCCTTGGACAACACTCTGTACTATGCTTTATCACAAGCAGGGATGGGTAGGGTCTGACAGGTTGCAGAACAGGCTCTACAAAGCCCAACTGGAAGCTGTCAAAAAGGAAACTTAGCTGGTATACTCCAGAAAACCTACCTAAGCCCTTTATGAGTAAGCTATGATCACCAGGAAGAAATGTCCTAAGGGCTACTCAATGCCAACTGCTGAATGGTTCAGACCAGATTTTTTTTTTTCCAAACCAGATTTTTATTGCGGTGGGGGAGGGGGGGGAAGGGTCACTAGGAAGAGACCTCTGAGACTAGATTGAGCATTGTTTGAATTGGAAAAACCAAACTATTTCCCATTTAGACAATGGTTTATTCTAATTTTTAGAATCCAAAGCTAGCCTTAATGGTTTCTTGTGGCCTATCTACATAAATTCTAACACACTGTGTCTTAAGAAATAAATCTTGACGACAAACAGCGCATAAGCACTGGGAATAACCCCAGTTATCCCCGGAGGGAAGGAGCACAATGCAGCACTCCTGTTTGCATTCCCAAACTTCAACACATGCTTCCACTCTTCACACTGACTAGATTGTAAAAAGGAAGTCATCTAGAGGATGGTACCAAAGAGGGGGAAAACACAAAAAACAGATGTGAGACTCCTTCACAAAAAAGCCGAGAGGCAAATTTCACTGATTCAAACACTGAGGCATGCCCTAAAGGGATAGACAAAGAGCATCATGGCACCAACTCTGCCCACAAACAGCTCATCCAGTCTATGCATGAAATAATCAAAATCCAAGGTAAAACAAAGCAAACACAGAAGGTCGTCCAAGAAATGAAACCAAACTGGAAAGGGAACTGAAGTAGAAGACATCATCTCCTTACTGGGCCTGAAGGAAACCCTCTTTATAAGCAGAGAAATGAGTGCCAAGCCACTCACCTGAGGCCGGCTTCCGGAAGCCTCTCAGGAGCGGGGCAGGGTCCCTGGCGACCTCGGCCTGGCCACGAATGGCAGCACTGGCCAGGGCCATAGAGCCACTGCTGCTGCTGGATGGGCTGCCACTCTCACCATCGGCGTGGCGCCCCGAGAACCCTGAAGGCAGAGCATTCCACTGTCAAAAGCATCACACGCCGAACACAGGCTCTCAAGACAAACATACTTCTCCCAGCTCTCCCTGACATGCTGCCACCAGTACTGAGGTGTCCAGCTCCCAGTCTTGGGCTGGTAGAAATCATTACCACATGGTCTGGCTTTAAAATGTGACCTTAAGAATGCCAAACCAGCATCTTCATTTGCACAGCACTATACCTTTTACAAAGCACTGGCACAATCCTCCATCAATTGCTATGACCACCCTGGGAGGCAAGAAAAGGACACATGGCAGAGACCAGCATGAGATCCTTCAGCAGGCCTCACCACCATAGTGTGCTACCTCCGCTTACCAGATAAGTTAGGTCTCTGGCCCACACCCAACAGTGGGTTAGACTACTGACAGAGGGAAGTTTGGCTCCCAGGACCTGAGGAAAAAGCACCACAGTCACAAGTCTATACACACCTGATGCAGATTCCACGTGGGCCCCGTTTACCTTCAGAGGAGTCAGGACAACTCGAGGTAACATCACCCCTGTCTTTTTCTTTTGTTTGTTTACCTGTGTTAAAGAGTGGATTTAAAAACAAGATGGAGTCATTGCTGTACCACAAGTGCCAACCTTCTTGATCCTACGTTTAACTTCTCTCGTAAAAGTTCATGTGCAGATAGTTCTAAGAGAAAATGTTGACAAAAGCAATGATCAAACATCAACTTCAGAGTCTAGGAAGGGGCTCAGTGGTAGAGTGCTTGCCTTGCATGCATTAGGCCATGGGTTCGATTCCTTAGCAACACGTAAGCAGAAAAAGTGGCGCTGTGGTTCAAGTGATAGAGTACTAGCCTTGAAGAGCTGAGGGACAGTGCCCAGGCCCAAAGTTCAGGCCCCACAACCAACAACAACAACAAAAAAATCACTCTCAGCTGAAAATAATGTATGATATTGTTATCAACTTATTTTTCCTTTACGTGGTACTGGGCCTTGTACTCTTTCATGGGCAGACATTCTACCAGTTGAGTCAGCCCATGCCCCTCCCTCCATCCCCCCTCTTTTTTTTTAGTACTGGTCCTGAAGTTCACGCCTGGGCACCTTCCTTGAGCGTTCATGCTCAAGGCTTGAGCCACAGCTCCTCTTCTAGCTTTTTGTAGTTAACTAGAGATAAAAAGTCTCATGGACTTTTATTTTTTGGTTGGTCAGGGGGCTTGAACTCTGGGCCTGGGCGCTGTCCCTCAGCTCTTCAGCTCAAGGCCAGTGCTCTACCACTTGGGCCACAACCCCACTTCCAATTTTCTGGTGGTTAATGAAAGATAAGAATCTCATAGACTTTCCTACCCGGGCTGGCTTTGAACTGTGCAATCCTCAGATCTCAGCCTCCTCAGTAGCTAAGATTACAGGTGTGAGCCACTAGTGCCTGGCTGTCATGGACTTTTCTGCCTGGCTTGGTGGGCCTCCTGAGTTGCTAGGATTACAGGTATGAGCCACCAGTGCCTGGCCACTCAGTCCCCTTTTAAAAATAGGGTTTCAGTTTTTTGTCCATTCCAGCCTAGATAGCAATCCTATTTATACTTCCCATAAAGCTGAAATGACAGATGTGCACCACTGCACCTGGCTTTTTTATTGGTTGAGATGAGGTCTTGGGAACCTTTTCCCTCGTTGGCCTCAAAGCATGATCCACCTGATTTCTTGAGTAGCCTAGATTATAGGCATGAACCACAGCTTTGTTATTGCCATTGTGCTGGTAAGTGCTAGAAAGTAACAGAGCTATTGTTGAGACTACTCATCTCTGACTCATGCTCTCACACACCATGTGTAGGCACATGTATTGGGCATCTCCCTTAGTGTGTTAAAGGAATGGGCAGAATTATCCATTTTTAAATGTTACTAAGAGGTGAAACCAAATTTGTTTTCTCCACTCTTCAAACATGTCCATGACTTCTGCTGAAAGAGGAATGATTCTCTTGTGCCTGTCCTTGTTCATCCTAGAGGTATGGTTATCAACTTTCTTGCCTACCTGTGATGAAGCTCTACAGCTGTCTCTGGGATTGGAAAGGGGTCGACTGTGAGACTCTGCAGAACAGGATGCATTTGACGATGTTTCATCAAGAGATACTGGAAGTAAAAAACGAAGCTTTAGTCCCTGGAAACTGTATATGGGGCTCTTCCCCCATCTTAGGAAGTTCGCTTACCATCATTTTCACCACTCACAGTGCTGGCTTCATTAGACCCACAGCTCTCCACATCAGCTGAGTCCTCTGGCTCTTCTCCATCCACTGCAGCAGGATTACGAGACCACTGCAGGGCATCCTTCTGTGACAGAAAGTTATAATTCAGGTGAATAAAACCCTACAAATCCTACAAGTACAAAAGTCATTCCTAAACCTGTATGCTTTTAGAGACAATGGACTTAGGATTTTTTTTTTTTGTCGGTCGTGGGGCTTGAACTCTGGGCTTAGGGGCTGTCCCTCAGCTCTTCAGCTCAAGGTGAGAGCTCTACCGCTTGAGCCACAGCGCCACTTCCTGTTTTCTAGTGGTTTATTGGAGATAAGCGTCTCACAGACTTCCTGCCCAGGCTGGCTTTGAACCGAGATCCTCAGATCTCTGCCTCCTGAGTAGCTAGGATTACAGGTGTGAGCCACTGGCGCCCAGCTGTATTTTTTTGTTTTTTGGTACTAAGGATTAAGCCCAGCGACCTCTCAAATCATCCTAGCCAAGTGCCACACTCCAAACCTGAGATTTAAAACATTGATATGCCCCTATCCTTTTGTATCTCAGCTTTTTCTCAGAAAATTCTTTTTCTAAATACAGCATTATGAAAGTTAGGTTTTTGTTATTATTGTATTTTTGTTTTAATTGAGACAGAGTCTATCTGGCCCACCCAGGCTGACCTAGAACTTCCAATCCTCTGTCTCAGCCTCCCAAGTGCTGGGAGTACAGGTGTGCACCATGACACTTAGCTTTATATTTTCATTTTCAATCATTTATTAAACACTTATAGGGCATCTAGGAGCTCTATGATGCTAGTTCCTGAAGAGAGGAATAAGGACCTTAGTGGGAATCATAGCTCTATTCTCAAGGACTTAGAGAGAGAAAAATCAAATGGATTACAATACAAAGGGCAGAGACACGTACGCAGAGAACAGATACAGCACAGGAGAAACAGAAGGTACTCCTCTAACTTACTGAGTTAGAGAAAACATGGGTACAGACCATAAATGAGGATCAGGAAGGCATAACTTCCAAGGAGATAAGATGCTTAAGCTGAATTTTAAAAGAAACTATAGCTAAGAGGCAGATGGACTGACTACGGGAAAGACTATGGGAAGTTCTTAAGTGGTAAGACTAACAAATGTAAATAAATAAATAAATATTTATATTTATATGCCAAATTCAGGGAAGAAGACTTTAGCAGAGGCTTGAAAAACTAAATATGTAGAAGGCTAGAGATAACAAGAGAGCAGACTATGAGTTGCTGTAGGAAGGAGTTTTTCTTTTTCTGGAGTTAACATCAAAAGGATATTAAAGCCTATGGCTGCTGGGCGCCAGTGGCTCACACCTATAATCCTAGCTACTCAGGAGGCTGAAATCTGAGGATCGAGGTTCAAAGCCAGCCTGGGCAGGAAAGTCCGTGAGACTCTTACCTCCAATTAACCACCAGAAAACCAGAAGTGACACTGTGGCTCAAGTGGTAGACCGCTAGCCTTGAGCAGAAGAGCTCAGGGACAGAGCCTAGGCCCAGAGTTCAAGCCCCATGACTGACCAAAAAAAAAAAGCCTACATGGTTGAGATCTGAGGATGGAGGTTCACAAGCCAGCCGAGACCGACAAATCAGACTCGTCTCCAATTAACCAGTTAAAAGCCAGAACTGGAGGCTTGGGTAAAGCACTCTGGTCCTGAGTCCAAGCCCTAGTATACATAAATAAATAATCTTAACTTGAAATTTTGGACTTATATTTGGTTAAAGAATTTGGTTCCAGCAACCCGTGAAGTCTGGAAGCAGGAAGAGAAATTGGACTATGATACAAGTCTAATGAAAAATATTGATGGGCTCCAAACTCAGTGACAACAAACTAAAGTGCAGAGGAGAGTCTACCAAACATTTTATCTAGCAGTAAGTGGGCTCTATGGTCTCAAAATTTAATCCACTTGTTCCTAAGGAACACGTTGAGTTGCATCAAACTTACAAAGGTGGGTAAGGGAGGTATCTCATCACAGTGTTAGCCTAGTACACATGAGAATCTGGGTTCCATACCCAACACAAAATAAAAACCAAATAAAAAGTAAAAATTGAGGAAGAAATGTAAGTATTAGAAGCTAGAGAGAGGAAAAAAGTTAAGGTAAGGTACAGGGGAGAATATCAACTTTGAATGAAGTATGCATAGAAAGTTAGGTTTAAATAGTGGCTGTACCTTAGGAAAAAAAATACACAATAAACTTAAAATTGGAACCCACAACAACTTAGGCCCCAATTTCATAGGCCCCAAGACTTACTACATTCAAGTTTTCATTGATTTATTTTCATTGATTTTAAGCCAGAAAAATTCTTAGTTAAAAAAAAAAAAATAGCGGTACGCTGGTGGCTCATGCCTATAATCCTAACTACTCAGAAGGCTGAGATCTGAGAACTGCAGTTTGAAGACAGCCAGGGCTTCTTCTCTCCAGAGACTCTTCTCTCCAATTAACCAACAGAAAACCAGAAGTGGTGCTAAGGCTCCAAGTGGTAGAGTGTTAGCCTAGAGCAAAAAGAGTTCAGGGACAGTGGCTAGGCCAAATTCAAGCCCCACAACTGATAAAAACAAAACAAACAAACAAAAACCAAACAGTTTTTTATTTTTATTTTTTTGCCAGTCATGGAGTTTGAACTCAGGGCCTGGGTCCTGTCCCTGAGCTTTTTTGCTCAAGGTTAAAAACTATACCACTTTAAGCCACAGCTCCACTTTTTCAGTTTTTGGGTGGTTAACTGGAGATAAGTCTCAGCGTGGGCTGGCTTTGAACCACGATCCCCAGATATCAGCTTCCTGAGTAGCTAAGAATTCAGGTGTGTGTGAGTCACCAGTACCCAGTTGAAAACACCTTTTTAGATCTTACCTCTTTTCCCTATTGGCCATAAACATTTCTCAGAACTGAGAACCTAAGGATATTTTATTATTTTTTTTAAATTACACTTATTGGTTGCCACATTCTTAAAATAATGAAACAAATTTAATCTCCGATTCTCACAGGCAAACTACAGTTAATAAAGAAGGTCTATACAATGCAAACCCAAAAGGCCAATTCTATAAAGAACATGGAAAAATCATATAAACATTGCTAGTGATAGTGAAAATGGTATCCAGAGTTCACACAATGACAGTGGAGAGCACACTGCAACCAAAACTCTAAAAACAACATAATGAGATGTGTTTCAGGTTTGGGACCCATTTCTAACCACATGAAATTCATTTTTATGTTTCCAGTTATACTTACACATGTAGTGCAAAGGTAATTCATGCACTATTTTAGGCAATTATGTTTTTTACTGCAACCCCTCACTTGAGATCCATACCTGATCACATTAGCACTTTAAAAAGTTGTGTATTTTTTAAAGCGGGGCGCTGGTGGCTCACGCCTGTAATCCTAGCTACTCGGGAGGCTGAAATCTGAGGATCATGATTCAAAGCCAGCCTGGGCAGGAAAGACCGTGAGACTCCTATCTCCAATAAACCACCAGAAAACTGGAAGTGGAGCTATAGCTCAAGTGGTAGAGCGCTAGCCTTGAGCTGAAGAGCTGAGGGACTGCGCCCAGGCCCAGAGTTCAAGCCCCATGACCAACAACAACAAAAAAAAGTTGTGTATTTTTTATTATTTTGGATTTCAGATTATGGGTACTGAATATTTTCTCATATTATATTCCCATAATAAAACATTCTAAAACTAAGATAACTAGGCACATAAAACTGACTGAAATAAAGTTGCAGAGTATTTAATGACAGAAGTACTTTTGGTAGAGCTAGTTAAATTTACATTTATGTTCTTTCTTTTCCTCTCTTTTTTTTGGGGGGGTCTGGTCGTGGGGCCTGAACTCTGGGCATGGGTGCTGTCCCTCAGCTCTTCAGCTCAAGGCTAGCACTCTACCACTTGAGCCACAGCGCTACTTCCAGTTTTTTTCTTTTTGCTTATGTGGTGCTGAGGAATCGAACCCAGAGCCTCAGGCATACAAGGCAAGCACTCTACCACTTGAGCCATAGTGCCACTTCTGGCTTTTTCTGTTTATGTGGTACCGAGGAATCGAACCCAGGTCCTCATGCCTGCAAGGCAAGCACTACCAATGAGCCACCTTTCCATTGTGTTAATGTGTTCATACAGAAAAAAGGTACAAAGGTGCTAGCCATAACTGTAGTAAAGTGTTGAGTTACAAATATTTTACTTGCCTTTGATTTTGTCAATTAACATGTATTTGTGTGTCATCAAGAAAGTGACATTTGGACTGGGAATGTGGCTTAGTGAAGTGCTTGCCTAGCATGCACGAAGCCCTGGGTTCATTCACTTTCTCAGTACTACATAAACAGAAAAAGCCCAAAGAGGCTCAAGGACAGTGCTCAGGCCCTGAGTTCAATCCCGGGGGGGGGGGGGGGGGGGGGGGGGGGGGGAGGGGAGGGGAGGGGATGTTAGACAAGCTCCAGTGGCTGACGCCTGTAATCCTAGCTACTCTGGAGGCTGAAATCCAGGATCGAGGTTTAAAGTCAACCCAGGGAAGAAAGTCTGTGAGACTCTTAGCTCTAATTAACCATCAGAAAACTGGAAGTGGAGCTGTGGCTCACAGTGGTAGAAGACTAGCCTTAAGCAGAAAAGCTCAGGACAATATCCACAGCCTGAGTTTAAGTCCCACCACAACAAGAAAGTATGAGGACCTGAGTTCAAGCCCCAGTACACGAAAGATACAGAGATAACAAGATATTTTGATCTGGAATCTAACACCCTGAGATTGCTACTTACTGTAATTCATTTTATTTTTTTGGCCAGTCCTGGGCTTGAACTCAGGGCCTGAGCACTGTCCTTGAGTTTCTTTGTGCTCAAGGTTAGTGTACTACCACTTGAGCCAAAGCATTACTTCCAACTTTTTCTGAATAGTTTATTGAAAGAGTCTCAAAGACTTTCCTGCCTGGGTTAGCTTTGAACAGCAATCCTCAGATCTCAGCCTCCTGAGTAGCTAAGATTACAGGTGTGAGCCACCAGTGCCCAGCTCTTACTGTAGTTTAAGACTTTAAAGGGACCCAAATCGCCTGTGTTAGGGAGATGTGTGCCTATTTATGCTACTAAGAAGTGGATAA